AGTTATGGACCACAGGTATGAAGTTCACGGCATGTAATGCCTTAAGAGAGAATATTATGAAAATTATATACAGGTGGTACATGACACCAGTCAAGCTTGCAAAAATCTATCATTTGCCCGACAATAAATGTTGGAAATGTAAAGAAACTGAAGGTACATTCTTTCACCTTTGGTGGACGTGCCCAAGGATTAAGGCTTTCTGGGAGATGATTTATAATGAAATGAAAAGGGTATTTAAATATACCTTTCTGAAGAAACCAGAGGCCTTTCTCCTGGGCATGGTCGGCCAAATGGTGCCAAAGAAGGACAGAACTTTCTTTATGTATGCTACAACAGCAGCAAGAATACTTATTGCAAAGTATTGGAAGACACAAGATCTACCCACTCTGGAAGAATGGCAGATGAAGGTGATGGACTACATGGAATTGGCGGAAATGACTGGCAGAATCCGAGACCAGGGTGAAGAGTCAGTGGAAGAAGATTGGAAGAAATTTAAAGACTATTTACAGAAATATTGTAAAATTAATGAATGTTAGAATGATGTCAGAATGAAATTAAGTGGTTCTAGCAGCAATGTCATAAAGGTGTATGAAAAAATGGCTAGTTAATAGGTGAGAATCTAAAGCTATAATATATTAAGTTAAAGGACTAAGACAAAAACAAAGAGGGAAAGGAATTGCTGAATTAACCAATTGAACTGGAATACAAAAAAGGGAGGTGAGAGGAGGTCAGGGAAGCAACGAAATGAAATGTAAGATACGGAAGGATTAATTTGTTTTTAAGTGTTTTTTCTAAAAAAAAATTTCTATACTTTGTATGTTTTTGTATGTTTTTTCTCTTTTTTTCTATATTTTCCCTTGTCTCTTTTATTTTTAACTATGTAATTTTTTGTTTCTGAAATTTTAATAAATATCATTTTAAAAAAAAAAAAAGAAAGAAAGAAAGAAAGAGGAAATTGTAATTGGGACACCTCTAAATCAGTTGGGTCTGAGAACAAGGTGGACTTTGGGCCAATCTCTCTAGTATTTCAAAGATACTAAAATTGAAGAGAACAGAAATGGACATTTGTCAAGTAGAGAAGACAGTGACTGAGCTGGAAACTCTCTGCATTCAAAGCATGAATTCTACCACTGAACCATGGATCATCCACTACAGTGGTACCTTGATTTAAAACCATAATCCATACTGGAGGTCTGTTTGTAAACCAAAACAGGTTGTAACCCAAGGCACGCTTTCGCCAATGGGGCCTCCAAATTTTTTTGTTCGTAATCGGGGGGGGGGGGGATGGGTTGTAATCCAAAAAAAGGTTGCACACACTTCTGGGTTTGACGTGTTTGTAATCCAAAATGTATGCAAACCAAGACATATGCAAACCAAGGTATCATTATATTATATGTTGTTGTTGTTGTTGTTGTTGTTGTTGTTTCCACCTTGCCTTCCTCCCCAAACAGTACAAGCTGGCAAGGAGACACCCTATTTATAAGCAAAGTTAAAACATTCTAAAAACAATTAAAAACATCCAGAAGCAGTTTCAGTTAAGTACACTCTAAATGCAATTGCAGTTAAAAACATTCTTCCATCCAGCGATCACGAGGTTGCCAGGAATAGTATTCATCAGTCACCAAATGCCTGGAATGAAAAGAGGAATGCTTTTAAATTCCTCCTGAATGTCAATAATGGTGGAGGCAGGTGCACCTCACTAAGGAGGGCATTCCACAACCAAAGAGCTACCACTGAAAAGGCCCTGCCATGGTCTAGCACCAGTCAGGCTACACCCTAGTGGTGACACCACCAACAAGGCCTCACTAAACACCCTCCCCCCCCTCCATGCGGGAAATTTCTGATAGCCAGAATCACTCAGATATCAGAGCGCCTCTGGGCATGTGGAGGGCTCAGGAACTCTCACTGTGAGCGTCCTGGGCTCTTTAACATCACATGATGTGTGAATGGGCAAACTCATGCTTAACCATCTGCGCCTGCCGCTGTTATGTGCAATTGAGGCTACCAGTGTTTCAATTCAAGGGGGGTGTGAGTGTTCCAGCCCTACGCAGCCTTCCCTCGTGCGATGAACTGCTAACTTTAACATGTAAACAGTTCCCCAAATTATATATCCCTTTGTTAAATCAGCCATCTGTCAGTGATCAGAAATCTAATCCATTCAGTCTGGCCAACTTGCTGTTGGCTCCTCCATCTTTTGTTAAGGAATATTCTTCAATATGTATAACTACAACTTTCATAAATGTGTAAAAAGAAACGGTATCTGTCTACAGAGAGACTCAGACAGAGGCCATCTGTCAGGAACTAAAGCTATTCTTTTCGTCCTTTCTTTTTCGTCCTTTTTTGTTTTTTGTTTTAAATGAAAACATTCATCTGGGATTTGCCCTTTACAGAGTAAACCCACTTAACCTTCCAATAAGATTAACCGTTATTTGTTTCCATTAAATAAAAATGAGCGTGCTAGTGCTAATATACATTTAATAGTTCCATAACAATGAAAGAAATGCACACTTTGACATTTTCAGATGCTTTGTGGAATCATAAAATTATGGGATTTTAAAATTTATATTTTTAATGAGAGTTTCTGGGTGTCTTGTCATGCAGAAGAAAGCATGGTTTTTACTTGCTATTGTAGATTTGAGATGCTCAGTGGTGTAGGGCAGGAGGACTGCAGAGGACTGCAACTCAAACACCTTTTCTTTTTTCAGAGCAAAAGTGATGATGTCTTCTGCCAGGGCACCAAGGTAATTGGAAGGCTCTCCTTGATCTGACAATTGCATGAGGTGATAACGAGGCTTTCAAGTTTATTTGTGACAGATTAGCTTATTGGAAGATAAGCAGGGTCTGTGTTCTTTCCTTTCCCTTCATGGGGTTCCTACTTCGCACTAGCAGTTTAAAGCGGAATATACTTTCGCTGACTTATTCTGAGTCAGGTCATTAGTTACCTAGCTTAATTTTGCCTACCCTGACAGGCAACCACCGTCCAGGGTTTCAAGCTGGGAGTCTCAGTCTGGAGATTCTGGGTATGGGACCTGGAACCTGGCCACCTGTCAGGGAATCTTTAGCTGTGATTCCAGCATGGGGGGGTTGTACTATATGACCCTGGACATTCCTTCCAAATCTGCAATTCTGTGAGTCTGTGGCCCTATGCTCCTTATCGTTTCACTTTGAAAGAAATAAAAAAAAATTCCCCTTCAATAGGAAGTTAAACAATGGAGGAAAGAGAAGACAAAATTCTATCCTTCCCCCAACCCAATCAATTCCTTGCACCTTGTTTATGGTAAAGGAGTGGACAGGGGAATGCATCCCACAATGATTAATAGAATACTGTGACTATTTGTATTTCCAGCCGTAAAGGAGGTTTCATCATTTGGGAGTGCTCTGGAAATTCTGGCACCCATTGCGAACTTTTGCTGCAGAGCAGAAATTCTCCCCCCTACGCCCCACATACTTGCTCTTGGGCAGCTGTTGACACAGAGTTTGCCAGAGCCTGGAACACAAGAATGGGGAGAGAAGGACACACACATGCAAAGCATTAAACTCACATCCCTTCTGTATTCTGGTTTGGAGACTCAGGCAGCAGACCGTGGGGAGAGAGCAAACCCCAAGGTGCCCACTAAATAGTTATAACACTGATATCCTCTCACCTGTAACAAAACAAAACAAAAGATGGAGATATTCTTAAGGGACCCGCTTTCATAAACTTTCCTTTCTTAGGTTTATACTGGGATAATTGCTCCCCAATTAAACATCTGTTTAGAGCATCAAGCCTGAAAGCAAGACTGTCCAGGAGGGGATATTTCAGCCTCCCCCCCAACCTTTTGCCCCCTCCAGAAGTTCTTGGACTACAAATCCCATCAACCCTATTAGCCCTGCTGGTTAGGGGTGATGGGAGTTGGAGTCAAACAATATTGATGCCAGAGTCCTCCAGCGACTACATCTCTAAGAAGAAGAAGATGGATCCACTCTTTGGTCCTTCCCATGTGGGTCTGTGGGGAACTCCTTGCCACTTGATTCAGACAAGTTGGTCCATAGTCCAGGCTATGAGTTTCCATCATCATCCAACACCCATGCTTCTGCCAAACACTCCTGAATGGAGATTTCTCATGCAACTAAGTCCTGTAAAGAATACTTGCAAGGAAAGTGTCCACTTAAAAGGGTTGCTTACCTCTCAGAGGTGCATCCAGAGAAAATTATATCTTATATTAAGTGGCAGCGCTTGTTGTTTAATTCACAGTGAACAGAGCAAGGCCAAATTAAATTATGGAAGTCACCACTCCGATTGTGACATAGCTGACTTCTTTCCCCAAAGAAATCAGCGAGGAGAGATGGGCTGCAGGGTATGGAGCAGCTCCAAAATGTTCTTATCCAAACCACACTAGTCATTTTTACAAAATGTAAATTGGCATGTTCTTTGGCACCTGTCGCTGGCTAGCTGAATTAATTCCTCTCTCCAGGAAAAAAAAAAGCATTTCCGTTTGGAGGGATTGCAAAAAAATGTTTGCTCTTTTATAAGTGTTCTGCAAACAAGTTCCATGTAGATACACCTTCTGCTGCCTCTTCATGTTTGCATTCTTGAAGATCGGGAAGGAAACTACCTGCTTTACAGCATCCCAGAGACGTGTGTGTGTGCGCGCACGCATGTATTTTCAGTCTGGGAAATACACCGCCCTACACACCCACCCCAATGCCTGAACCCCTCACACAGAACTATATTAGGAATTTTAGCATGGTTGCTCTTGCTTCGGAACATATCCTTAGAATCCTTCTTGCACCAGCAGCCTTCCTGCAGCCTTCCTGCTGATCCCCACCTATTTTCCTGTCCAGTCACCAAGGTGTGAGGCAAAGACTGCTAGACCTGCCAGACAGCATCTTCGTCAGCTCTGCCCTGTATTTGTCACATGCAGCACTGTTTACATTCTGCTGCAGTCCATCTTCCACCAAAACCTATGTCATCCATTTCACTGTCCGCTTCAGAACATTACATAATTAAACTCATGCAAGCTGGGATAGCTCAGTTGGTGGGACATGAGACTTTTAATCTCAGGGTTGTGGGTTCGAGCCCCATGTTGGGCAAAAGATTCCTGCATTGCAGGGGGTTGGACTAGATGATCCTCACGGTCTCTTCCAAATCTATGGTTCTATGATTTACATAATTAACTGTGGCAATTGCATGATGATGTAGTTTTTCCGTTATTCCACCCCATTCATTTCCGTGCAAAGGAAACACAATGCACATGGGGGATACATAATCAATTGTGTATAGTTCGTAGACTGAAAGCAGCAGCAGCAGCAAATACCCATCTCATTCTCTGGATTGATTTCCTTTCTAGACATGGAATGAATAAGCGAACATTGGCAATTTCCATTTTCTGTGGAATTCTCTGACATCCTCACTGACAGGCAAACAGTCAGGGGATTGCTGAAGGTGTCAGGAGGTGGGCACTGCCAGCTGGATGACTGTCTGGAAACCCTAGTGAGTGATGGGGCAGAAGCAAAGAATCCCAGGGGCAGAGCTGGCCCAGAGCATTTTTTGCGGCCAAAAATGCAGGGCAAAATGGCACCACTTCCCATTCCACATATAGAAGGCAATTAGGCTGTTGATTGAATCTTAATTCAACACTGAAGATGGGCAGGGTAGTGGTTAGAGAGTTGGACTAGGACTTGGGAGACCAGGGTTCAAATCCCCACTAGGCCATGAAGCTCACTGGGTCACTATGGACCACTCACTGTCCCTTGGCATAACCAGGGGTCTTCAACTGGCCTAAACCTGAGATCTACCTGACTCCCAAGCTGCAAAGTTGGGTCCCACTTTCACATTTTATTTATGCTTACTAGTGCTAATAAGGCATGTTATTAATCCCAAAATGGAAATTGACACAACATCATACAGAGAGTTCCCTCAGTATTACTGCTAAATGCAAAGCAGAACTGCAATGTAACAGGAGAAAGACACGAGCATGTACTTGGCCAGAAATATGCATCTAATGGCTTGCGTCTTTCTCCTGCCACATTGCAGGACTCATGGAAATTGCTAAAATGAGCATCTCATCAGAAGAACACCTCCTAGTCCAAACATGCATCCTTTGTTTTGGTCAGCCATAGCTTGAATCCAAGATGGCGGCAACAGCTTTGATGTAACCCACCTCATGACCAACTGGTTGCAAGGCTATGGCCTACCTTACAGTATTGTTTTGTCAGGGCTGTGAAATCTCAGTTGATTCACTCCATCCTATTAGTGCAAGGAAGCTTCTCTGGCTGGTGCTAATCACCTTGTTGTTCCCAGCTTTGGAGACAGCTGAGTGGGTGGCAGCATAGAGCTCCTTTTTTTCTGGTCACTGGTTCAAGACTAGCTGCGGGCTTCTATCCTGGCAATCTCACTCACAAATAAGGAAACATTTGTTTCTTCCCCAGGACAATGAAGGTGAGCTTAATAAAAAGTTTTGACCAGCTAGGGTGGGAGTGCAAAACCACCAAGCTTACACGATTGGTGGTGAAGTTCACGATCTTTGTCACTTTTGTTATAAAGGCACCTCGATAGAAAAGTCAGAGAGAGCAAGGCTTCAAGTGCAATTACTTTCTCCCTGCCTATTTTTAGTGACAGGATCAGATTATTTTAAGTGCATTTTATAGAAAACCCTTCTTTACTGAAATATAAAGACTGTAATAAAGACAATACAATGTTTTGAAACTGTTTTAAACCCTTCACTCAGCTTTGCTTCTACAGATTTAACATGTAGGGGTTCTAATCTTGCCGCTACTAATTAGTGCCTTGGTATAATTGTGCCAACGGGGTGCTTGGCACCATAATTACTATCAAGAGATTCTGGTGGGGCTGTAACATGCCCACATTTATATGGATATGTCTACGATTACAGAGCAGTCACCTTTGTACGCTGGCTCTTCCACTGGATATTAACCAAGTAAGGGGTTGTTTTGCTTGAATGTAAGAGTTCAAAAGAAACGCACATATGTGCAACAGAGGGATTCATCTCTCGCCTTCCACGCCACTCCCCCACACCTAAGAAGAACATATAGGACAAGTTACGAAATGCATTTCTACTAGTTTGGTCAAAAGGTAATCTGAGCAAAAGTAAATAAGATGATATTGAAATTATAGGCTGGCCTTTAATCAGAGGTTTAGCTAGTTATTTCAAACACCACTTCCTCCTCCTCTCTACAGCTTCTCACCCCAGTCGCATTCATACCATACACTTATTTTTGTTTTGTTTTTATTTCTCTTTATTAGAATTTTTATGAAAATCAAATTAAATCATATTTTATAAAAAAGGGGTAAATTAACATAACAGACCTAAGGCATCTCAACAACAACACGTACTAATAATTGTTAATACCTTCATATATAGAGGAGAGAGAGAGAGAGAGAGTCTTACAAAAAATTCTTCTTTACACAGAAAACTCAAATGGTCCCTAGCCTGGACTATATCAAGGGTGGGGAGCTGGCATTATTCTTTCCACTTGTAGGATCAATAAACACTTTACATATTTTCTCAAATGGGTCCTTTATCTCCCCCCCCCCGTTGCCCTTAGTTTTTCTGTTAATTTCTCTAAGCACCTTGTCTAACTTTTTGAGCGTTTTAACTCACAGTCTCTCTCCCCAGAGAACTCTGGCAATGGTGGCTGTGAGGGGATTGGGGGCCTCCTAACAACTCTCAGCAAACCTGAGGAAACCCCAGCTCCCAGAATTCTTTGGGTGAAGCCAGGGCTTTTTAAAATGGTACCACAGTGCCTTAAAACGTGACGTGAGAATGCCATTCATGTCAACCGCTCCATCCTTCCCATTGATTTGAACCATCTCCTTTCCGTCTCCTCCTCTTAGGGTCATCACATGCACAGCTTCACAAAGTGCAGTCCTCTGTTTGAAGGAGTCCTGCATCGGGAGGACTGTCCAGACCAAGTCCAGTCTAAAAGACTGAAGGCGGCCACAGCTGAGTGGGAAGACCATCTGCCTGGCTTGCAGATAGACCTGTGCCGGGGGTGGGGGCAGCACAGCCACTTGCCCCAGGCTTTGGAGGGCTAAGCCAAGGACCGGCTGCTTTTTTTCTTTGAGTTTATACCTTTATTCTAACAAGACTCCCACCCTGGGCCTTGGACAAGCTCTGCACAGACCTTAAGCAGATGGTCCTGGGTTCAATGAACATCCTTGAAGGGTCCCTCCATGTAAGGTTGGAAGAGACTGTCCCACTTTCTGTTTTCAGCAGACCCATGTGCAGAATGTCAGACTGTGCCCTGCATGCCCTGTGTTCACCTTAGCTTTTTATTTATATCCCACCTTTCCCCCAGAACCACTACTCAAAGAGACTGTGTGCACTGACATTGAGGTCCATTAGCAACAAGATGTCTTTTGCCCCTCAGAGTTCCAACTGCTACAGATATGAGGACTGAGCCCTGACGAACTAGGCACTTACGGAAGCAAACCACGTTAACAAAATCTTCACAAAGCCCGTCCCAAAGAAAACGGATGGGCAACTCCTCAATCTCTTGACCCATAGTTGGCTGCCCGCCTGTCAATCACTCGGCATCACAACGGCTTGCCAGTTTACTTTTTCTCTCACCTTCTCCTGCTTGCTTTTTGTAGTAACCAGAAAATGCCTGCTGATACTAAGCAAAGATCCAGGTCAAGCTTATGGTTGTGTCTGTCTTCCTTGTGGTAAGACAAAGCCTATTCTGTAGCAAGGGGAACGAGAGAGATGTGGTACGATAAACTAGGATTTCTTGCAATGTCTGCAAAGCAGGAGGGGCGGTCCCAGCTAGTGAGGAGGTAAACCAAACAAGACATTTTCTATTTGGAAATGGGTAGATTTCACTATGTGTGTAAAGCAAATGAACACCCCAACCAAATATTTGAACTTGTGGAACACTTGAAAATCCCTGCTCCCCCACCCTACAATTTTTTCTTGGATTGAGCATGCTTTTTGATAAAGGAACCATTTACATTTCAGCAATTGTCTTCAATGCACAATTATTCTATCATTGTCATTTGAGTTATATTGAGTTTTATGGACATGTCTCCTATCTCCTCCACCTGTCTGTTTAATAAAGAAAAGAGGGAAGAGAGGGAGTGAAGGAGAAAATAATACGAACCACATTTCCAGAAAAGTGCAGTCCAGAAAAGATGATTGGATCTCCTTGCATTTTAATAAACAGGATATTTCCAGTGGGAAAGTAATTCCAGAAAAGAAAAGTGATTTCCTCCTGCATTTTAATAAACAGGATATTTCCGGGGGGCAGGGAACTGAGCCCAGAAAAGTGGTGTGGTTCCCCCCTTTTAATAAGAACCCTTTTTCCATAAAAGAAGACTGGTTCCTCTACATTTTAGTCTCTTGAACCTAGCAAGCCATCTTCTGTATTATCATATTATCCTACACTGCAGACATCCATTCTTTATGAGTTGGAGCCTCACGTTGCTTCTTCTTCCTTACCCAAGTTACCTTATCTGCTAGAAATAAATTAAACAGAAGCTTTTTTCTGCAGGGAAAGGGGATGGTCTGATTCTATCACATGCAACAAAAACCAGCTTTGGATCCATTTCAATTGAACAGTGTAAGGTGTTACCACACATGGCTTGTATGTCTTTCCAAAAGGTCTCTGCCTTAGGGACATTCCCACCAGGAATGAATGCTGTGCCAAAACTGTTCCAAGAAAAGTTGTCTTCCCTGGAAAAAGAGGCCTTTGCTTTTCTGCTTTAGAAATGTCACAGCATTTTGGTGGATGCAGAGTGGAGTGAAGAAGTACTTCCATGTACAGTATCTGTCCTGAATGGTCCGAAATTTGGCTTCATTGGATATCCATAGGGTGGTGCTGGTGCCATTTTGCCTTTTGCTTCAGACAGGAAAGTGCCTCTGGATGCACCTTATTGAGAAAAAGTTGGATCCTGCAACCAGTTTCAAATTATGCATATTTGTGGGATATTTCTTTCTTCCTTTTTTCACTCATTTGGAAATGATAGCTTGATTTCCACTAGTCGTAAGGAGGGCAAGAGCTCTACTGTGTCCTTAAAACCCACCCTCTAACTCAGGCATAGTCCTTGTGGTGCCCTCCAAATGAACAATAAT